CAGAAGCAGCCATGACATCACCTCCACCATGCTTCACAGATGAGCTTGGATGCTTCAGATCATAAGCAGTTCCTTTCTTTCTCCACACTTTGGCCTTTCCATCACTTTGACAGAGATTAATCTTGGTCTCATCAGTCCTTAAGATTGTGTTTCAGAACTTTTACGGACCATCTCTTTACTTCTTTGCAAATTTCACTTTGGCCTTCCTTCCGATTCTTCCTGCTGATGAGTGGTTTGCATCTTGTGGTGTGGCCTCTGTATTTCTGCTCAGTGGATTGTGATACCTTCACCCTGCACTCTGGAGGTCGTTGGTGATGTCACTTACTAATGTTTTGGGGGTTTTCTTCACTGATCTCACGATATTTCTGTCATCAACTACTGCTGTTTTCCTTGGCCGACCTGTTTGACGTCTGTTGCTCAGTACACCAGCAGTCTCTTTCTTTTTCAGGACATTCCAAATTGTTGTGCTTGCTATGCCCAGTATTTGTCCAATGGCTCTGGTTGATTTACCTTTTTTCTCAGCTTGACAATGGTTTGCTTTTCTCCCATAGACAGCTCTCTGGTCTTCATGTTGGTTTATCCTCTTTAACAGGAAATGCATTCTTTCTAGGTTTGAACCAAGGATGAAAACTTCAGCCAATCAGAACACAAGGCAACACCTGGGCAACAAGAAACATCTGTCAGTCACATGTTCCAATAGTTTTGCTCATTTGAAAAAATGGGTTGATTCAAACAAACGCTGGTATGTTCTGAGTTGTTTAACACATCTAGATGTGAATACCACAAAATGACAGCTGAAATTCTGAACTCTTGTCTCATACTCATCTTTTGATCTTAAACCCAAATGTCTTCAGTGAACAAAAAAAACAAATGAATTTGCCTCACCGTTCCAATACTTTTGGAGGAGACTGCATACTGTATCTTCCAGCTGAATCATGTTAGAGACAACAAACACACTCACAGTAACATTCTGCTTTTATTGGAACAAGAGCCAGAATTCAAAGCAACACATGACAGAAGGTCCAAGTCAACGGCATTTCCACCATTTAATGATCAGAGCTTCCATCTTTAAAGGACTGGAAGTGGAAGAAGTTTACAAGGAAATGAGGAATCTGTTCAATCACTTTGAATCACTTTGTACAAAGTTCATTGATGTATTTATTACAAGAAGCTTCTGTGATCCTGTACAGACTCAACTTATCTGTTCTCTACCAGGAGGAGACTCTCCCTCCTGCACAGAACTCAGAGACACTGAGGAAGCAGGATTCCAGAGCCTAAAACCAGGATAAAGAGGTTCAGTGAATGTGGTGTTGAAGGTGTGGAGGTGGATCAGTGTGTCAGAGGAGACTCTGTAGAAGGACAGAGAGCCAGCAGGACAGTCCACATACACTGCTACTCTACCAGAGGAGGAGGAGGAGGAGGAGGAGGTGATGGAGGTTCCTTTGTTATTGTGCCAAACATGGTAACCATAACCATCAGAGTAGAACAAACTCCAGGACTGATCATTCCTTCCAAACCCACAGTCTTCACCTTGTTCCTTCCTGCTGATTCCTCTGTAACTCACTGCTATATCAATTCCTCCTCTCCACTCAACCTCCCAGTAACAGCGACCAGTCAGACCATCTCTACACAGCAACTGCCTCCAGTAGTCAAACCTGTCTGGATGATCAGGATATGACTGATCCTCCATCACACGTGTTGCCTTCCTGTTGTTGTCAGACAGTTTGATCAGTCTGTTTACTGTGTTTGTGTCGATTGTGAGTTCACAGGAATCTGATGGAGAGAACGAGACACAATCCAGCTGTAATAAGTATCGATTGACACTTCGACGATGACATCAGAACTTTGAATGAGTGATGTCACAGTCTGAAGATGGTTGAATGTTTTCATGAATCAAATGAAAAACACACTTACACTTCCTCAGACCTGGTCTCAACCATTGGACTCCAGCAGGCTCCACCCTGAAAGGAGGAGGGGGGTCAGACCAGCATCAAACATGGACATTACATTCCTCTCATACACATATACACAATATATGCCCCCCCTCTCAAAGAGCTTGTCACTTCTCCTCCTTCCTCAAACAATTGCTTTATAATGGAATGTTTTTTGTTCACACTTTTAGAGCTAATTTAATGTTCATGTTACAACCTGATGGACATGACATTCCTATATATCCTAATATGCATATACATAATAAGTGCATCATTATATGTGTCACTCCTCATCCACCTCACAGTGGTTTGCTCCGCTACCTACCTTTTTCAGACCCTCACAGACTTTATTTCTAAAAAGCCCCTGGCAACAGATCTAGTGAGTTATTCAGACAAAGGTATGGCCAAAAATGTTATCAAGATAAAAGTTTCATATCTTTCGATATCGATAATTATCACGATAAGTATCAAATTGTTATTTCCTTCGAGTTTAAAGGCTGATTTTTGCTCCTGAGTGAAAGTTGAAGAAACCTGATGGTTAATTGTGGTTTAAACTCTTCTTAATGCTCAGAACATGACAAACACTTGAGTGGATCACTTCATAAATGTGAGGTAGAACATTTAAACAATTATGATCAATTCTTTTTCAACAAATATGCATGAGCAAAATTAAATAAAAGCTTTTTTCAGTCCTTTTTCCTCAACAAAATAAACATCTTAATAAAAGAATGAAGTCCAAATTTCTGTAGGATTCAAGTGAATAAAATCAAACATTAATTGAAAATTTATTGAACATTTGTTATATTGTTATTGAAAAAAATTATATTGCGATAATGATTGTTATTGTTTTACTGTCAAGCCCTAATTCAGACCATCGGGGGAAAGTGAGAAAAATACAAAAGTCTGTTATAATATCAGCCAATTTATCCCCCTGCATGCTGATCTGAGTATCTCCCTCTCCTCACGCACCATGTTTCAGAAGTGACTCTGTCTCTGTCGCACACACGTAAAGGCTAAAATCCGCTGACTCCAGCTATGAAGCATTATGGCTGTGGAAAATAAAACACCCTGTGGAGACTCCCTATCGTAAAATAACAAACGCAGTTAAAACGGACACAAACAAAATCTTTTAACTACGTTGCCTGCTTAATCATAGTAGAAGCACAAAATCAAACACTGATTACCAAATCAACAAAATCTAAACATGTCACCAAAGTCAGGCAGACAAAATGTTCTGTTTCTGAAATTTTACTTGTGGGAAATGCAAGTTGACGGAACGAAACGGGGTCACATAGAGTGAAGAAGGCAGTACAAGCACGAAAATGACAAATTAATAAGTCATAACGTGGGGCAGGCTGCATGTTCCGCTGCTGAAATGCTTCTGAGACGCTTCTAGTGGACTTTGACGCTGGGCTATGGGCACATCAAAACCGTGGCACAGCCGTAACCGAGTCAGTGGACTCCCAGAGTGAGAAACACAATTGGGAGCTATTTTAGGTGTGGACATTCTTGTTCTTGTAACAGTGTATGTCTCTGTCCTGCACTTGGTCTGTAACATTTTTGAATGTGATACTTGTTGCTACTCTCACCAGAGAAAAATATTCAGCAGTCCACATGAAGAGAGTGTATGACTACTGTTAATGTTAACTGAAGTACGTAGTTATTTTAACCCAAACCATGATTTTTCCTAACCTTAACCAAGTAGTTTTGTTGGCTAAACCCAACCAAGTAGTTTCTGTGCCTAAACCTAACCAAACTGCAACGTTTCACTACAATAACGTAACCCTCTCAACTCATGCTTCACGCTTGGAAAAGTTTTGTACCCTGCACTATAAGACCTCTCACAGACAAGTTAATGATGTCACTTTTGTGCTATGTGTAGATATGTGTATACTGTCCATATATGTGTGTACTATGGTAGTTTGTGTCTAGAATTCATATTGATGGTGCTCTTTGTTCAGACTGTGAAAGCAAATTTCCTCCACTGAGGGCAATAAAGAATGAATCTGAATCTGACCCAGGGCATTAAAAAGCGACGCCAAAGGGCCTTGACCAAGCGTCAGTAGGTGACGAGTTGGGAATGAGAACTTGTTGTACCAAAAGGCAAT